TCTAAACTCAGTAGAAAATGATTTACATACAGACAGTTGTTGCAAACCTATCATCTTTATATTCATTTCAAACTTTCTTTTGATTTTCAGATCTATTGGAGAAAATTGCAAACGCAAAGCCTGAGCTATTATGTCTCCCTGACGAAGAGTTGGGGAATTCACTGCATTATGCATCATCCACAGGTTTTCTGGAAGGAGTTCAATTCCTTTTACAAAAGTTTCTCAATGGTGCTTATAAAAGGAACCGTGAAGGCAAATATCCTATCCATGTAGCATGCAAAAATGACTCTGTTGATGTAGTAGAGGAATTTCTGAGGATTACCCCATTTCCAGCAGAATTCCTCAATGAAAAAGGGCAGAACATTCTTCATGTAGCGGCTGAATATGGACAGGTCAATGTGGTAAGGTACATACTCGAAAAGAGTCGGGACTTTCTTCGTGTAGCGGCTGAACTTGAAACACTGATAAACGAGATGGATCAGGATGGAAATACGCCTTTGCATTCGGCAGCACGATATGGTCAATTGACGGCTGCATTTGTACTTGTGCGCGACAAGCGCGTTGACCGTTTCATTGTTAACCATGAAAATCTGACACCATATGAAATTGCTGAACAACAATCCAAAAGTGCTGAAGAGGAATTTGACAAAGTATATGAAATGGAATGCTATTTGATCATCATTTATGGAGCTACAAAAGTATATATTTAGGAATGTCTTCCCAGCTTGCTAAGGAACAAAAGAATTCAAAGAACAGTAACCCGTCCAACGTTCTGTTGAAATTTCTGTTCTTAAATTTTAAGTAGTTATAGATTCCATTTCACAAAAGGATATCATATGTAACGAAAAAAAATGGAAAGAGAGTATATAACTTAAATGCTTCTCCAGCACTTATTTCTTCTTCCTCCTCCTCTTTTTCTTTCAAAACTAAACCAGTGCTTGGTATTTGAAGGTTTGTTAAGTTGGTGGAACGAGTCTAGATTTTTCCTTCTCTAGTAAATAAGCATGACGAGATTTTCTTCTTGAGAAAAGTCTAGAGCTAGCAAGCTGAAATTTCAGCAAAAACCACCTAGATATTTATAGAGCAAGAGAACTGGGAAACCTTGTGAAAAGTCTGTATTAATCTTCAACAATTTGAACAATTATCTGGTGTGCAATATTTCATGACTTATGTCTTCACTCCTCCGGGTGGGCATGCTAATTCAAAAGATTGTTGTCCAGCCATAGCAGGGGGGAACTTACAATTATGCTTTTTTAACAGGGCAAAGCGGTCGATTTAAATAAGCAAGATACAAAAAAGGCATCACCAAAGGACCACGGAGTGATTAATTATTTTAAATTGGTAATATTGATTTTTTTCTTTCCAACTTTTTTTTCCTTGCCATCCCTAATCTCTTAAACATCTAGTTCAAGCCCAAGTAATTTAACTTGTAAACTATTATATTCAAAACTCCTATTTCATTCCAGAAATTTACTTGTTCTGAAAAAGGCATTTGAAGGCCGAAGCTTTAGGAAGCAATTGAGGAAGTGAAAAATACTCATTCAAACAATTAAGTTTTTTCTCCCTCTGCCATGCAGCTGATAACATTATCGATCTTCTACTTTTATGCCCCCCCTGAGCAAACCTTACGTGAGCGTTTCACTGTTACTCCACAACCCATGCCACGAGCAAAAGAGGAAACAAAGAGCAGGATAGAGAATCTTCTAGTGGTAACAGTTCTTGTTGCTGGTTTAACCTTTGCGGGTGCTATACAATTGCCACAATTAAGGGTAAACAATAACTAAAGGGAGCATCATCATGAATTCAACAGCACTTATGAGAATCTTCTGTATTGTTATTTATTTTTCGATGTTGGGGCTTTAACTTCCTCTTTGGTGGCAGCTCTAGTCCTTCTCTGGGCAAACTTTAATGATGCCAAATTCAAACTCCTTGCAGTTCATTTCTCAGCCTTCATTGTTTTCTCGGCTATTACCATGATGTTGGAGGCTTTCTCTTTTTCTGTGAGAATAGCATTACTAGGATCCCCTGATGTGTGGTTAACAATCACAATTACAATCGTGGCCTATGTGTTTTTCCTTCCTCAGGCGTTCTTTCTTTTAACTTGGGTTCTTCCGCGATCTGTCAACCAAATTCTTCGTGAAATACTCTTGCATTATTTCCTCCTCGGCTCGCTGTTCACGCTTTTCTACAGTTGGAGGTGGTTGATTGATCAGAAACTTCCTCGCCTCAAGAGAAAGCCCAATTAAGTATCCAGGTCGATCTCCATCAAGGTTGATCATAAGAATAGAGGGAAAGTAGAAATATATAGGAGTTCCCACCTTTAAGAGGTTTCGGGATCAATAACATCTTGGATTGTGCGTGTCTAGCGATTGTAATAATAATTTGAACTTACAATAACTTCTGAGTTTCCTATTGAAAGCTGTATGCGCAATTCTACAATTATTTTTTCTTTAAGCATGCATTCATTAGACTCCTTTTGTTGTTGTTGGATTGAGTTAGAAATAAATTTAAATCAAATATTCAAATTTAGGTATCAATGTTAATTAAATATATTGTTATTTGTTGAGATTTTATTGGCCTAAATTATTTGATTAATGGACAACGGATCAGGATATTAAAGCTAGGATACCATTTGGTTCTGGAGCTTTTATCGGTTGCATCTAATCAAAGGCTTCTCTCACTTCCTCCCTTGCAAAATCTTCATATAACTGAAAATTCATATCGATTGTGGCTCGCTACAAAACATTTTCAATCACCTTATCAACTCGATCCTTCTCCTTAAGAAGAAAACAAACTCTGGATATGTCTTCGTTCTTATCAGACCAGACTCTGTCATCTTTGATTCAGTTCGCCCTATTCCAATCCTCTCTGTTGCCTTCATATGAAAGCTATGTCTTCTTATTGTCAACCTTTCTAATTTGATGTCTTGTTCATTATAAAAAAAATTCAAATTATTAGTTTTCTGATTTTATTGTAGGATATGATTTTATAAAATACTCAATAAATTGTTCTATACAAATTTAATTATGTTAAATAGATATGCTTGGGTGGGTATATATGTGAACATGTTTGTGAATATGTTTTTATTCTGTACTTGGATCCATCAACTGATGCAGAACATAATTATATAATTTATATTATTATTTTAAAAATTGAAATTAATTTTGAATTTAAATCAAAATATTTTGATTTAAATATTACGACTTAAAAGTATATTATAGTATCTTTTTAATGTGGAATAAAAAAAATTTTAAATATTCTTTTAAAATTTCATTATTTACAACATGTACAACCTATATTCACATGAATTTTTTTAATTTTTTTATACAAAATATTAAAATTTTAAATATTTTTTAAAAAAATTTAAATTAATTCAGATTAATCTAAGTTAATCCATGAAATCCAATATCTATCCTTTTAACTAGATAAATTTCAAAGCCAGTTTGATAACTGTACCTTAAATATTCTCAATCACCTTGTCAACTTGATCCTGCTGCTTGAGAATAAAACACAATTCTGGATTTGTTTTTGATGCTTATCAAACCAGGCTCCTTGGGATCATTTCAACCATAATGTCCACCTTTATGATTTTGTTTGTCCCAAAACCGTCGTTCATTATCAAAATTTCTAATTATTAATTTTGCAGATTTTCTTGTTATATTCTAATCACAACTCATTGTAATTTTTTAATCCAACCAATTCCTTCCTTATATATTTATATTAAATAATCCATAATTTAATCAAATACAAGTGAAAAAAAAGAAGATTAAAAGATATAAATAATGATCATGACATTTATGTTGCTTTCAATTTTATAATAATATAAGATTTAAATTACATATCATTGCCACCCTAGTTAATTTTCAATTGAACCCTTTCGTGAGAACAAACTAACGAAATCAAGTGATATAGTTTATATTAGCACTTTAAAAAATTTGGCATAATTATAAATTTAAATTGAATATGCATCTGAATTTTAATTTTATTATAGGATGTGATTTTTTAAAATAATCAATAAATTCTTCTTTAAAAATTTAACCATGTTGAATAGATATGGGAAGGTACATGATGTGTGAATATATTTGTTATTATCTAATTTCAACCCGTTTACTTTTATTTTAATTTTTAAGGGAAGGTTGAATTTGGAATTAAATGATCGATGATTAATTTTAATCAAGAGAGTAATTTTCCAACTTATAAATAAAATAAGGACTATAATATGTTTTTGCCCTTCTCTCTCCTTATCTCTAATTTAAAAAAAAATCATAATTTTAGTTATTTATTTTTAAATTTGATTTTAAATTCTAATCAAATTTAAATTTTAAAAAATTAAATTTATTTAAAAATTTGTTTTCATATGCTATAAGATTCTTATATTATAAATACAGATCTTAATATATATATATATATATATAACAAACTAGGGTTTCAAGTTTTGAACTGCCAGCAACCATTTATCTTTAGTGTCATCTCTTTCTCTGACTGTCACAAACAACAACCCATTAAAGCAACGAAGATCTCTCAAGAGAGGAATCGTCAACGCCCCCAACAATAATACTAGGTACGCTCTTAAACCTCCTCATTATAAAAAATTGTGTAGTTATTTTTCTTTAGCTTGCATAAGTCATTAAAATAGGAAGTAAGGATCCTAGGAATGGTGGCTTTGTCATCTTTAGCTGTGGGTCAGATGATGAGGGAATTTATTGCTATTGCCCTGCCTGGTTTTATGTTGTAATTTTTATATTGCATGAAAGGGGGACTTTTGGGCATGCACTGTTGAGCATATATGCCTCCCTTCTTGTTTTTTAAAAAATGCACCATAATGTATCAGTGTGAGAAAGGCATGCTTTGCGACAGTGGTTTTTTATTAGCATTGTTTTTAAAAAAAAAGTCTTAAGGTATTTAAGCATGTTTTAGATTTTTTTTAACACTAAAAAAATAATGAAAAATAATACAAAAATATATTCCTTACAATTGAACTTAATAACTAGTTTATAAAATTCATTAAGATTTGACTAAAATTAAAAAGCTCAATGGGTCGACATATTCAAATTTCAAAATAATAAAACCATCAATCCCATATTTGTAAATAAAAAAGATGGTTTTGCCCATGTTTGAGGTCAACGTACTCATAGGGAGCAACCGCTTTCAATAATAAAAAAAATAAAAATATATTTCTTAAATTTCCAAAAAAAATAAAAGTTAAGAGTATTAACATTAAAAGTTTTTTTTTTCTCAAGTTATACTCATAATGACAAAGTCATAAAATTCATCAATGCTAAAATTGGAAATACACTTAATAATATTCATTGATGTTAAAATTAAAAATATTAACATTAAAAATAAAAATAATTTTTGAACTTGATTTTCTTCATGTAGACCATGAAATCCACCCAGGTTTATAGAAGGTGGAAGAGGAAAGTTTTGTATTTAATGGTGCCAAATCTTAGCACTTAATTCTGTTAAGAGAATCTCAATCGTTGGTTTAAAATAAACACCATGAATTATCAAATCTGACACTTCAAGGTTGTCCGAGTTAGCCATTTTAGATCAACATCATGAACATTGTGGTGTCAATTAACCTAAACAGACCATATGAAAATGTAGAGAAATGTCAAGTGATCATTTTGGTTCAGATGCCCTCAGACGAGACCACCTCTTAGTGTCATCTCTTTCTCTGACTGTCACAAACAACAACCCATTAAAGCAACGAAGATCTCTCAAGAGAGGAATCGTCAACGCCCCCAACAATAATACTAGGTACGCTCTTAAACCTCCTCATTATAAAAAATTGTGTAGTTATTTTTCTTTAGCTTGCATAAGTCATTAAAATAGGAAGTAAGGATCCTAGGAATGGTGGCTTTGTCATCTTTAGCTGTGGGTCAGATGATGAGGGAATTTATTGCTATTGCCCTGCCTGGTTTTATGTTGTAATTTTTATATTGCATGAAAGGGGGACTTTTGGGCATGCACTGTTGAGCATATATGCCTCCCTTCTTGTTTTTTTTTAAAATGCACCATAATGTATCAGTGTGAGAAAGGCATGCTTTGCGACAGTGGTTTTTTATTAGCATTGTTTTTTTAAAAAAAGTCCTAACGTATTTAAGCATGTTTTAGATTTTTTTAACACTAAAAAAATGATGAAAAATAATACAAAAATATATTCCTTGCAATTGAACTTAATAACTAGTTTATAAAATTCATTAAGATTTGACTAAAATTAAAAAGCTCAATGGGTCGACATATTCAAATTTCAAAATAATAAAACCATCAATCCCATATTTGTAAATAAAAAAGATGGTTTTGCCCATGTTTGAGGTCAACGTACTCATAGGGAGCAACCGCTTTCAATAATAAAAAAAATAAAAATATATTTCTTAAATTTCCAAAAAAAATAAAAGTTAAGAGTATTAACATTAAAAGTTTTTTTTTTTTCTCAAGTTATACTCACAATGACAAAGTCATAAAATTCATCAATGCTAGAATTGGAAATACATATTCATTGATGTTAAAGTTAAGAATATTAACATTAAAAATAAAAATAATTTTTGAACCTGATTTTCTTCATGTAGACCATGAAATCCACCCATGTTTATAGAAAATGGAAGAGGAAAGTTTTGTATTTAATGGTGTCAAATCTTAGCACTTAATTTTGTTAAGAGGATCTCAACCGTTGGTTCAAAATAGACACCATGAATTATCAAATCTGACAGTTCAAGGTTGTCTGAGTTAGCCATTTTAGATCAACATCGTGAAATTTATGGTGTTAATTAACCTAAACAGACCATATGAAAATATAGAAAAATGTCAAGTGATCATTTTGGTTCAGATGTTATCAAATTTGGTGAAGATTAGAGATATTAAATGCCCCTGCAGAATAGCTTTTCAAGCTATCATTTCTAGTAAAAAATGAAGAAGATAATGAATAATAAATAAATAACGCGTCGTATGGTTCTTTTGTTACCAAAACGGTATCGTTTTAAGGTTTTGGCCAAATTTCAATTTGGTCCTTCATCTTTTGTTTTATGTCAATTACACTCCTCATA